CTTTGCCTTCTATACTTCTTCTATTCTCTAGAGCACTTGGTTTTAGCCTCTCTACACCTTTGGTTAAACCAAAGGCTCGTCCTGGCGTTCTCATCATTTCTGTTGTCCGCTTCCCTTTATATTGTCACATTTTCCATCATCTCATTTACTGATTTATCTGCCAATTCCCTGTCCCACTGAACCTCGTAAAACAAATTCCTTCTGCCTGTGCAGTTCCCTCTATTGTAGTTTGGCTTCATTCGTCCTGCTCTTCCTGCCTCCTTCTCCACATGTAACTCTATTATATATTCGATCTTAGAACTCTGTGATCACTAGCTCCGAGGGACCGTACATATGTGATGTCCTCAATATTTGCACTACTCAAGCTGAATACTCGGTCCAGTCTTGCTGGTTCTTCCTCTCTGCTCTCTCTCTCTGGTAGTTTCACTAACGTGTTGATACATGAGGTTTCCCAGTACAAATTACATTATCTTAACCCTCCACATTTCTGGGCTTCCATGTGGCTCCAGGTAAGTGTGTGTGCGTGTGTGTGTGTGTGTGTGTGTGTATGTGTGTGTGTACTCACCTAGTATTACTCATCTACTTGTGGTTTCAGGGGTCAAGTCGTAGCTTCTGGCCCTGCCTCTTCACTGGCCGCTACTGGGTCACTCTCCCTGCACTATGAGCTTTGTGATACCTCTGCTTAAAGCTATGAATGGATCCTACCTCCACTACATAACTTCCCTAACTATTCCACTTCCTGGCTACCCTGGGACTGAAGAAATACTTCCTAACATCCCTGTGATTCATCTGAATCTTCATCTTCCAACTCTGTCCCCTTGTTGCTGTGATATTGTGTATATGGACTTCAGTAAGGCTTTTGACAGGGGTCCCACATCAGAGATTATTGAGGAAAATTAAGGCACATGGAATAGGAGGAGAAAATTTTTCCTGGATAGAGGCATGGTTGACAAATAGGCAGCAGAGAGTTTGCATAAATGGGGAGAAATCAGAGTGGGGAAGCGTGACGAGGGGTATTCCACAGGGGTCAGTGCTGGGCTCCCTGTTGTTCACAATCTACATAAACGACATAGATCAGGGCATAAAGAGAGACATAAGCAAGTTTGCCGATGACACCAAAATATGCCGTCCAATTCATTCTGACGAGGACTTAGAGCACTCCAGGAAGATTTGAATAGACTGATGCAGTGGTCGCAGAAGTGGCAGATACAGTTTAATATTGACAAATGCAAAGTTCCAAATGTTGGACATGACAATAACCATGCCACATATAAACTAAATAATGTAGATCTTAATATTACGGATTGCGAAAAAGATTTAGGAATTCTGATTAGCAGTAATCGGAAACAAAGACAACAGTGCATAAGTGTTCGCAATAAAGCTAAGAGAATCCTTGGCTTCATATCAAGAAGCATAAATAATAGGAGTCCTCAGGTTGTTCTACAACTCTATATATCTTTGGTTAGGCCTCATTTAGATTATGCTGCACAGTTTTGGTCACCGTGTTACAGAATGGATATAAATGCTCTAGAAAACGTACAAAGGAGGATGGCAAAGTTGATCCCATGTATCAGAAACCTTCCCTGTGAGGATAGACTGTGGGCCCTGAATCTGCACTCTCTAGAAAGGCGTAGAATTAGGGGGGATATGATTGAGATGTATAAGTGGAAGACAGGAATAAATAAAGGGGATGTAAATAGCGTGCTGAAAATATCTAGCCTAGACAAGACTCGCAGCAATGGTTTTAAGATGGAAAAATTCAGATTCAGGAAGGATATAGGAAAGCACTGGTTTGGTAATAGAGTTGTGGATGAGTGGAACAAACTCCCAAGTACAGTTATAGAGGCTAAAACGTTGTGTAGTTTTAAAAATAGGTGAGATAAATACATGAGTGGGTGTGGTTGGGGGTGAGTTGGACCTGATTAGCTTGTGCTACTAGGTCAGTTGCAGTGTTCCTTCCTTAAGTTAATGTGACCTGACCTGACTAGGTTGGGTGCATTGGCCGGTAGGAGACTTGGGCGTGCCTCGCATTGGCCAGTAGGCCTGCTGCAATGTTCCTTCTTTCTTATGTTCTTATATTCTTATCTCTGGAACATTCTCTCTCTGTCCACCTTGTCAATTCCTCTCAGTATTTTATATGTCGTTATCATGTTCCCCCTATCTCTCCTGTACTCCGGTGTCGTCAGGTTGATTTCCCTTAACCTCTCTTCGTAGGACGTACCCCTTAGCTCTGGGACTAGTCGTCTTGTTGCAAACCTTTGTACTTTCTCTAGTTTCTTTAAGTGTTTGGCTAGGTGTGGGTTCCAAACTGGTGCCGCATACTCCAGTAAGGGCCTAACGTACACAGTTTACAGGGTTTTGAACGATTCCTTATTAAGATAGAGGAATGCTGTTCTTTGATTGCTAGGTGCCCATATACTGCTGTAGTTATTTGGTTGATGTGCGCCTCAGGAGATGTGCCTGGTGTTATACTCACCCCAAGATTTGTTTGTAGGTTTGCAGTCTCTGGCCCCCTAGACTGTACTCCGTCTGCGGTGTTCTTAGCCCTTCATGGCTTTGCACTTGTTGGGGTTGAACTACAGGATCCAATTGCTGGACCAGGCCTGCAGCCCGTCCAGATCCCTTTGTAGTTCTTCCTGGTCCTCGTCCGACTGAATTCTTCTCATCAACTTCACAACATCTGCAAACAGGGACACCTCGGAGTCTATTCCTTCTGTCATGTCGTTCACAAATACCAGAAACAGCACCGGTCCTAGGACTGACCCCTGTGGAACCCCACTCCTGACTGGTGCCCACTATGACACCTCGCCGCATACCATGATTCGTTTGCTTTCTTCCTGACAGCTATTCCCTGATCCATTGTAGTGCCTTCCCTTTTATCCCTGCCTGGTCCTCTAGTTTTTGCACTAATCTCGTGTGTGGAACTGTGTCAAACGCGTTCTTACAGTCCAAGAAAATGCAATCTACCCACCCCTCTCTCTCTTGTCTTACTGCTGTCACCCTGTCATAGAACTCCAGTAGGTTTGTGACACAGGATTTCCTGTCCCTGAAGCCGTGTTGGCTGTTGTTGGTGAGCTCATTTCTTTCTAGGTTTTCCACCACTCTTCTCCTGATAATCTTCTCCAAGACTTTGCATACTATACATGTCAGTGACACTGGTCTATAGCTTTGTGCCTCTTGTCTGTCCCTTTTTTTTTTAATTGGGACTACATTTGTTGTCTTCCATATATCAGATAATCTCCTTGTTTCGACAGATGTGTTGAATATTGTTGTTAGAGGTACACATAGCGCCTCTGCCCCCTCTCTCAGGATCCATGGAGAGATGTTATTCGGCCCCCCTCTCCTTTGAGGTGTCTAGCTCGCTCAGAAGCCTCTTTACTTCTTCCTCGGTTGTATGTATTGTGTCCAACACTTGATGGTGTACCTTACCACTCCATCCTTCTGGAGTCCCTTCTGTCTCTTCTGTGAGCACTTCTTTGAATCTCATGTTGAGTTCCTCACATACTTCGCAGTCGTTTCTTATGATCTTCCTCCTTCCTTCCTTCCTTAGCCTGCTTGCCTTGTCCTTGACTGTTGTTTTCCTCCTAATGTGCTGTACAACAGCTTTGGATCAGATTTGGCAATCGCTGCTATGTCATTTTCGTATTGTCGTTGGGCTTCCCTCTTACCTGTGCATAATCATTTCTAGCTCTACGACTGCTCTCCTTATTCTTCTGGGTCCTTTGCTTTCTATACTTCTTCCATTCCCTAGCACATTGGTTTTGGTCTCCCTGCACCTTTGGGTGAACAATGGGCTCATCCTGGCTTTATCATTATTCCTGTTTCCCTTGGGTACAAACCTCTCCTCAGCCTCCTTGCATATTGTTGTCACATATTCCATCATCTCATTAACTGACTTCCCTGCCAGTTCCTTGTCCCACTAAACGCCGTTCAGGAAGTTCTTCATTCCCGCGTAGTCCCCAGTTGTATTTCTTGTAGTTGTGTGTGTGTTCCCACCTATTTGTGGTTGCAATGGTTGATTCATAGCTCCTTGTCCCGCCTCTTCACTGGTCGCTACTAGGTACTCCCTCCCTGTTCCGTGAGCATTATCATACCACTTTTTAAAGCTATGTGTGTGTTTGTGAGTGTATGTGTGTGTGCGCGTGTGTGCGTGTGTGTGTGTGTGTGTGTGTGTGTGTGTTGTCTGTGTGTGTGGTGTTGTGTGTGTGTGTGTGTGTGTGTGTGTGTGGTGTGCGTGTGTGTGTGTTGCGTGTGTGTGTGTGCTTGTGTGTGTGTGTGTGTGTGTGTGTGGTGTGTGTGTGTTGTGTGTGTGTGGTGTGTGTGTGGTGCGTGTGTGTGTGTGTGCTTGCGTGTGTGTGTGTGCTTGTGTGTGTGTGTGTGTGTGTGTGTGTGTGTGTGTGTGTGTGTGTGTGTGTGTGTGTGTGTGCGTGTGTGTGTGCTTGCATGTGTGTGTGTGCTTGTGTGTGTGTGTGTGTGTGTGTGTGTGTGTGTGTGTGTGTGTGTGTGTGTGTGTGTGTGTGTGTGTGTGTGTGTGTGTGTGTGTGTGTGTGTGTGTGCATGTGTGTGTGGGTGTGTGGTTAGCGTTGTATTATTATGAAATGTTAATATTGTAAATATATTTGAAATAATTTTTAATTTTGTTTGTTCCTTAATGTTATTGCTTCTTTGCAGTTATATTTCTGGGTCAGTTCTTAGAATTTAGGCTTATCGGCTGCAAGAGGAGAATTACATTGTAATTCTACTGTACACTTCTAGCCAAGAATTATTTTATTTCTAAAACATGGATTAATTTAAACTCACATTGTATGTACAGAGAGATATACACCTTTTGGTGTTAATAGTGAATTTTGGTTCAATCGTTGTTTATTTTAAATGATTTAACTGTTGACTGGCTCTAAATAAAAGGCGCATTTTAATGTGACGTCACAACAATGACGTCACACCTGTGGGCTGGCTTACAGGTGTCTTGACGGAGATGGGTAGGTGGGAGACCAGTGTTGCTGCGGTGCTCGTGGGGAGAGCAGTTTCTCGTCTCTCTCCCACAGCTCGCCTTGGATTACTTCCTGCCACGCATTGAAATCAGGTAAAACATAAGACTGACATTTGTATTTTATATCTTGTCTACGGTTTAGCAGTTGAAATATAATAATATCAATGCTAGGTGTGAGTTTTATATACGAACTATATATTTTAATGATTTTTTACAAAATCGCATTTGTGAATTTATTTAATAAAAATATATTTCTCTCTGTCAGATCGTTACGACGTGAATTGCAACTCAGTAGAAAAATCAATAAAATAAATAAAAAATGATGTAAGGCAAGAACTTTCAGTCTGTTATAAACTTTAACTAAAAAGATATTTAGTGAATAGAAAGTCATACTGGATTTAGTGCAAAGAAAATAATATACAAGTTGACATAACTTAACCGATAGTTGATTATACCTTTGATCAGGATCCTCATCACTTGTTACTCCAGAAGAAACTCCGGCCGGCGCTGTTGCCTGGATCCTAAGCACTTGTTACTCCAGAAGAAACTCCGGCCGGCGCTGTTGCCTGGATCCTAAGCACTTGTTACTCCAGAAGAAACTCCGGCCGGCGCTGTGGCCTGGATCCGCAGCACTTGTTACTCCAGAAGAAACTCCGGCCGGCGCTGTGGTCTGGATCCGCAGCACTTGTTACTCCAGAAGAAACTCCGGCCGGCGCTGTTGCCTGGATCCTAAGCACTTGTTACTCCAGAAGAAACTCCGGCCGGCGCTGTGGCCTGGATCCGCAGCACTTGTTACTCCAGAAGAAACTCCGGCCGGCGTTCTTCAATCCAAGGGAAATAAGACGTTAATGATTGTCTGGGAGGTTTCAAAGAGCTCCTCACATAATGTGTGGATACAACAAATGACCAATAGAAAACGTGACCAATAAATTACTGAGTGAAGCCTTTCTCGATGTCTTCGTCTGAGTTATGTAATAATGTAAGCGGAAAAACTCAAATTACAGCAAGTATGTTATACACCGAGAGCTGTACAACTAGTATAGTATACAATGAAAATGTATTTTATTCCTTATGTCATCGAATGGCTGGAAGTATAAAGGCGTCAGGCAGCCCTAATAACCCTCATGCTGAGGGCAGGCTTTAAAGGTAACATAATTTACAAAACGAAAACCTAGTTAGACATGATGACTCTGAGATAACTATTTACTGACACAACACCTAGGAAGAAAAAGTAAAAACTGAAAAATCCTGATCCGAGTACACATTCCAGAGTGTTGTGGCTTGTGTCTCTGAGAGTATATTTTTTGAGTGAGGCGGCTTGCGACTTTGAGCCGTTTGAATTTAGCTTCACTATATCTTGAAATGTTTGTTTTCACAAAGAGTAAGTGATTCTGAACTGAAATGCAACTCAGACTGTTATTCCTAATGAACCATGAATTCTGAACATATAAATGAATAACTGAGACTTCGTAAAACTGTTCGCTACTGTGTATAAGATGGTTTGAATGTACATTGTTCGTAATGAAACGCATCTATTAAGAAAATGAACTGACGGTTTTAAGCAAAAAAAAAAAAACAAAAAAAAGGAAAAAGAAAACCCTTGTCCTTGTAGTTTTCCGTATGTTAGTGTGGCTGACATCCGTAATGTTACTCTGTGCTAGACAACACATCAGACTGGCTGTGCAGACACGAATCGTTCTCTTTGACAAGTGTTTGTTTTGTAAATACCTCAGAGCAAAGTGTGGGAATAACTTTATGAAGCATAACTGTTTCAAATGAGTTTTGAAAAACAAAAACCTGAATGAGTTGCCATCAGTGAAACTCATAAAAATTTTATTGCATGTCTTGTCCAAATAATTTCTGATAAATGTGCGAGATTTTGTTTTCTTATGCTTCTTAAATTTTGTGCGAGGAATCTCGCAGCTAAGTGAGGCATGTAGAGGCTTAGTAATATATACATATATACATGAGGAAAACCTTTCTCGTTAAATTCATTTTGAACATTTGTCTGATGGAAAAATAACGTTTACTTCGGTCTTCATTTAAATAATTATCAAATGGCCTGCAATAATAGTTCCTTTTGGTTTATGGTGAAAAGTCTTAAGAGTTGTATGACATCGACAAATAATAATAATAATAATAATTATAATAACAATCATGATCAGTGATAAAGACAGTCATGGATAAGCTCATTCCTTTGCTTGGACAAAGCAGTAAGGTGCCGCAGTGTTCAGACACAAACAATAATAACAAGACGTGTATTGAGCGAAGGATACCGTTGAGAACAGTGGAGTACAGTTTGCGTCCTCGATCTGTCGTCAGGAGATTGCAATTAGACAGAAATCGAGAAGGTCTGCAACAAAAGAACTCAAAATCTTCAAAATCGAGGCCTCCGCCGTTGTCAAAGTACCGCAGAAAGACTGCCAACGCCCGCGAGCGGCATCGCATGAAGGAGATTAATGACGCCTTTGAGTCTCTTCGACGTATTTTGCCAGACATTTGTAGCCGCG